CCCTTCCTGTGGACCCCCCATCCTTCCCTGCAGCCCCCACGAAGGCTGGGCCGGGTTGACCCCCACTCTGGCGCCCCGGGGGAGGAACGTCCCCGCGCCCTTCACGCCGCCGCCCACACCGGGAAGCGCCGTGGGGGGCAGGAGCCACAGCCCCCACCCCAGCCATGGGGCAATGGGCACCTCCACTCTCCCCACAGCCCCCTTAACCCACAGCAGGTGTAACCCACAGCCTGGTTATCCTGCACCTCAGGTAACCCAAGCCTGGAATAGCCCACTTCCAGGTTAACCCACAGCCAGGATAACCCACAGACCTGATAACCCACTCGTGGCATAACCCACAGCCCGGATAACCCACCCACTACTCAGCTCTCCCGGTGTGGCTAATCCAGCATGACTAACCCACAGCCCAGCTAATCTAGCATGGCTAATCTGTGGCCCTGCTAATTCGTAGCCTGGCTAATCCGGTGAGACTAGTCCACACCCAGTTAACCCACAGTTTGGTTAACCTACAGCCTGGTTCACCTGCTACCCATTTCACCTGCAGTCCAGTTCACCCACAGCCCACTTAACACACAGCCTGGTTAACCCACAATTTGGTTAACCCACAGCCTGATTCACCCGCAGCACTGTTAACCCACAGCCCAGTTAACCAGCAGCCTGGCTGGGCTGGTAACCCAGAGCCCAGCAGGTCCCCTCTGCCCACCATGGGGCCCAGGGGGGGACAGGGATGGGGACACAAACACCCTTGAAATGCCCCAAGCCCACGAGGGGCTGGGGGGGCAGTAAATCCCCAGCACCAGGCTGAGATCACCCAGCGTTGTTACACCAGTGGGAGGACCCAGGAAGAGCAAAGTGCTATGAGGAGGGGGGTGTCCCTATTTGGGGGTGACCTCCTGGGGTGGGGAAGGAGCCATCCCTGGGGCCTCAGGCCTCATCCCCTGGGTGGACATCACGGGGACAGGTGGCCCTGGAGATGCCAGGAGGGCTGGGCAGTGGGGTGGGCACGGCTGGGGGCTTCTGTCCCCCTCCCTCCTCTGTTCCTACAGGTTCCCTTCCCCTGGGGACACTCATGGGAAGTGGGGGCATGGGGGTACATGACATGGGGACATGGGGATATGTGGATACGGGACATGGGGATGTGGGTATGTGCAGAATGGGGACATGGGGATACAGTGACAGGGGGACATGGGGGACAAGGGACACGGGCATACACGGACACTGGAATATAGGGGTACATGGGGACACAGGGATGTGGGGAGATGGGGGCACAGGGACACAGAAATATGGGGGACACAAGGACACGGGCTATGGGGGGGACAGGGATGCAGTTCTAGAGGGACACGGGTACACGGGGCTCTGGGGATGTGGGGTTACGGGGTACTGGGGCTGTGGGGTCCGATCCCAGTCCAGTGGCTCTGGCAGGTGCCC